CCCCCAGCTCTGCTCCGTCTCCCCTCCCTGATTTTACTCCTCAGCCTGCTCCGCTGAAGGTGCAAACAGCTTTCTGAATGGTACCCTTCCTGCCTTAGCAAGCTAGCCACTAACTTTGGTCTTTAGCACCTTTTCTCCTGATACTTTATGTATAGAGGTAAGGGGTGGGCGACAGAGCATCGTTCTCTCCTCCCCCCCTTCTCCTATTGATTTAGAGTTTTCTTATCCCCTAGTCATAGCTCTGGTCATCTGAAGAAGTGAGTTATGCCCACAAAAGTTCATGATCCCATCTACATGTTTTGTTAGTCTTTAAAGTGCTACCAGACCATTTGCTTGCTTTTTTTTTAATCCCTTGGCCAGTCAGTTTCCACCCCCTAATCCAGACTCTGGCCTATAGCCCATTTAGCTCCTTTTGAGCTCCCTCTAGGAAAGCAGAAGAAATGTAGCCGTGTTAGTCTGGTGTAGCTGAAACAAAAAACAGGACTATGTAGCACTTTAAAGACTAACAAGATGGTTTATAAACTTATTAGTCTTTAAAGTGCTACATAGTCCTGTTTTTTGTTCTAGGAAAGTAGTTTGCAGAATCTGATGCTGATGAAGGGCTCAGTGCAACTGGTGTGTGCATGCTCAGTAAGCTCTCAGTCGCAAATTCAGTCAATTAGCAGGCTTTCACACTTTAACTTGTAACACCCACATTCTGTTCCTGCCTCCCAGTCTGGCCCACATCGCTGCAAAAGTAACCAGACCACAAATCAAACAAGATGGCTAGCCTTAGATTTTGGATGTTGGGGGGTTTTGTGGATCAGTAGGCTGTGGGTGCTTGCTCCTGCGCCCAACAGTGTAGCCTCTCAAAGGCACTTGCTTCTCCAATACTAACTGAGCAGCTTTATGTTTAATGAGTGGGCCTGGAGTAAAGTTGATTTTTTCATGGGCTCAGACCTGAGTGAAGCAGGGACAGGAAACATGAAAATATTAAAAAGTAGCATATTAAATCTCATGCTCACCTGTACGCTGTGTACAAAAACATCTTTTAAAAATCAGTTAAAGTAAGTCTGAAATAAAGATTCTCAAAAAGAAAGAAATGGGTGGACTGAGGATTTTCTAGCATCGTGAATTATGATTGGCATCTTGCCTACCCAAGCCAGACCCTTGATGTAAGTCACACAGTTCAATAATGGCTCATACTTTGGATTGCATCTGAGGAATTAATATATCAGATAAAAATATTTTGTATGCTTGTTTGTTATTTCACTTGCTGTCCTACTTTCCACTGTTTTTTTGGATAAGTGCATAGGCTGTCATGGGTGCTGTCCAAAGTCTGCTTGCTTAGATGCAGAGAGAGCAGGAAATCAGATCTTCTAAAATCCTGTCTAAACTGTGATACCTGCTGATTTGTTGGCCTGGTTTTAATGCTGTTCAGTCCTGCAGTATGGCCCACATCTATCCATACTAAAGCTTTAAACTGGTTAGAACAGTAGCAAGATTGGGAATATGCATTTTAGCTTCCCCTGTGCTGCAGAATAAATCTTGTAATAGTTCTCTAGGATTGCAAATGAACCCTCCCACCAAAAAAAAATGGCATTCCTTACCATTCGGATGAGATCCTAAACAGCCATATTTAAAAAATACCCTGCCTAATATAAAACACAAAATAATGTTATTGTCTCTGCTGTCTAATCATAAGAAAGATTTAAAATGCAGGTTTTTCCTAACATTGACTCTATAATAGAAACATATATTTTCTTTATACTCCCAGCAGAGATTTTGACTTGTGACTGAAGACTGTCTCTCCATTTTTCTCCCACAATCTTAGAAAATGAGTCTATACAAATGTAGAAAATTAAAGAACACAGAGATTGCAAAAAAGTCATTTATATATACATCAAATCAGTAGGTTCCATTTAAATCAGATATAGTGTCCAGCAACTCAAACCAGTCAGAATTTCTGACTGACTTGAGATAGTGTTACACTATCTTAGCAAATAGAGTTGGTCACTTGATGTATAGTTTGCTTGAAGAATGTTTCAAGTGAAACACTATCCACCTTTTAATGTGACCACTATTCTGTCTTCCAAAATTTACTTTTATCCTGTAAAATCTTCTGCAGTGAAATTAGGATTAAAATGGTTTTAGTTTTGGAGATTTCTAATTTGCCTTTGTTTTGTTTTCTCAGGTGGCTTTGGGAAGGACAAGTTATTAAAAGTTCAGCCTAGTCTCAGGTATTTTTGCTGGATTTCAGTGATCTGCTTGGCTGAAGATAAATGAAACTGTGATTATAAATAGAACTTGTTCTGTTGCCTATACAATAGTAAAGATTACCTGACTCTATTATATTACTTTGTCTTTTATCACAATTGAATATAAAGTGAACAAATATTTCTGCAAAGTTCTGATCAGTAAGCCTTAGAGAAGAGTCCATATTTTCCTCTCTTCCTTCTCAGTATTTTTCTTTGTAAGCATAGTCTTCAAGGCGATCAATGTGGCAACTTTTAATAAAGTCCTCTGCAAGGGGCAGAGCTGGAATGAGGAACAGCATTACCTGTTCTGTTCCTTCCCTCTGGGGCATCTGGTATTGGCCACTGTTGGCAGACAGGATACTGCGCTAGATGGACCTTTGGTCTGACCCAGTCTGGCTGTTCTTATGTTCTAACAGCATTGGCATCCTCATTACTTTGATGATATCCCGCCAGCTCTGTTCTTCAGGGACAAAGGAGTGAGAGGATCATTAGAGTTCCATTCTTTGGTCTGTGCTGCGGAGACTCTCAGCAAAGATTAATTAATATCAACTATGTTGTGGATACTTATGGAATGTGGACATCTGTCTTTTGGCTACCATACTGAGACCACCCAGCTAACTTCACCCATGCTAGTGAACAGCCTTCTGTTGGCAGTGGCTTGGCTGTCTGTCCCATTCCCAATCTTCTGGTTTAAAGTGAAAACAGCAGAAGGTTACTGTGTCTGAAGGAGATCACAAATTGTTTTTATTTTAAACAGACAGAAGGTGAATGACCATGACAATGATGGCAACGAATTACAGACCACACCAGAGTTCAGAGCACATGTTGCAAAGAAACTGGGAGCAATGTTAGACAGGTAACCAATAACAATGCACAACCTTATGAGACTAAACAAACCTATGGCTAAGTCTACACTGGCGTTTGACAGCACTGTAACTTTCTGGCTTAGGGGTGTGAAAAAAATCTCTCTTCCTCCTCCCCTCACCCCAAAGTTATAGCGCTGTAAAATACCAGTGTGAATCAGGCTACAGTACTGGGAGCCAGGCTCCCAGGGCTGTTACCTACTCCCCTCATGGAGATGGTTGACACAGAGCACTGGGAGATCTCTTTCCCAGAGCTCAAGCCTATGGCCACGTTCTCCGTTTAAAGTGTTGCCGCAGATGCGCTTTAAATATTTGTGTAGGCAAAATCTTAGTCAGAACCTTCCCTTGATCAGCATCAATAGATGCTTGCGTTCTAGAAATGGGAATCACTGAAGAGTTACATACATCTTTTTCCATGGAAAAAAAAGATTGTTTCCCTTCTTGTTTCTTATATCCCTGTGCATCCTGCTGGCCTGGGACTGAGTGCCGAATGTTTGTGACCTCGTTCCATTCACCCACTGGAAATGAAGTAAACCTGACATGGGCTGGAGAGCCTTTCTCTGTTTGCTTCAGTGTTGGGAAGGGAGTAGATAGGATTGAGATTCACCAGAGCCATGTCCAGTTATGACCTGGCGTTGAATCTGTCAGAAAATTCCCCCATCATGTCTGTGGTCCTTTTTTCAACTTACCTGTAGAACAGATTGAGCCTGACTCAGAGCTGTACTGGAAATATGGCAGGTGTTTGAACGTTTTACCTAATGACACATAGCTGCTGCCTTTCTTTAATGTGTAAATATGGCAGATGGGAACTAATGGGCCTAAGATGCAGTGTTAGAACTAATGGTCCTAAGAGGCTGGCTGCTTGGAATGTTGTATCTGGGTAGTTTCTGTGTGCCATGCTTCTGAATGAAATGGCCATGCTCTACAGAGATAAGCCCTTTGTGTAAAAGTTACTTAACTGCTCACTTTAATCTTGTTTTTTAACTTTTCCAACTTCTTAAACTGAGGTTGGCTGCTTGAAATCAAATCCTTGTTTCCTTTCTTAAGTTCAGACTATGGTCTCCCTTCTAGCTACATCACTGTCTTGGAGGAGTCATCAGATCCCGCACGGACTTCCATGCAAATAGCTGACTCTGCAGATGATGGTGAGTTCCAAGCACAGTCACCGTTGTAGCACTGATCTAATAGCTCTCCACTGGTATTCTGTCTGGTATTCTCTCATGCATTGCTTTAGGATTTCTTGTTAATATCAGCAGGGTATATTACCTTTATATAATAACCCAGAAAGTTTATTTAACACCTGTTAGTTCTTTGGGCCAGCATAAATTCCATGTGACGGTTGACATCAGTGTTGCTTCATAGAGGGATTGTTGGTGGCTGCTGCTGCTGCCTGTGTTTTATCTCTTGGCTAAAATAACTTTCTAACCTATTTATTTCCCTCTCTTCCTTTTTGTATTTCTTAGACTTTCGCCTATTCTCTTCGTCTGTTCCAGGAGATTGTGAAAAATCCAAACCTCCCATTTTAGCCAGAAGGCGACGACCTTCCAGTTCTAGGTGAGGTGTTAGTCTGCTACTTTGTTCCTAAAAATATTCCTTCCCGTGTTTGAGATTTCCTAGTGAAAGGAAATTAGTAATTTTAACTAGAGGTTGTATTTATTTTTCCAGTGCACATAATGTCTTTTAAAGAGCGCTTTGGAGTACAGACCGGTTAAGTGGTCACTGGAATACATTTTTGAGTCACAAAGCTATTACATTTATCAAGATCATGCTAATTTCAGAGTATGTTCTTTGGGTGAATGCAGGATGCAAATGTAACATACTTACCTCCCACTTTGCTTGCAATCCTTCCAGTGAGCTGGACAGTGACCAGGAATGGCAGAGGGGCCAAGAGGCTGCTGTGTCAGCAGCAGATATCTTGAAGCAAAGTGGGCTTTCAATGATGCCCCCAGATTCCAGTCAGGTTCTCAAGCAGGAGTGCACAGAACACAAGCAAAAGAAGAAAAAGAAAAAGAAAGCTAAAGGCGAACATATTAGTGAACAGAAGACTGCAGGATGTGGCCAGATCAGCAACCAGACTTTATGGTCCATTGATAGAGACTTCAAGAGACAAGAAGGCAGATGTACAGAGGATACAACATTGCCCAGAGTAGGGAAGAAGAAGAAGAAGAAGAAAAAGGTCAGAAAAGAAGTGAATGATTCCACTCTATAAACCATGTCTGGTCAGGATGGATGAAGGATGGTGAAATGCTAACAAAGGTAGTTCATGCACGCTGTCCTCTGCCGGAATTGTGGGGAAATAATTGGAGAGGCTTCTGTTTTAGGGGAGCCAGAGGACTAAGAGTTTAAGTGATTGCTCTTGTTGGGGCATCTTTTGGGGAACTCCCCTTTTACATTCCATCACAAATCAAACTGGTAATGCAGACCTTGCACTGAACGATTTAATATTCTGCATGGACTAGGGTGATACCTAGACATATTGGGACATATTGAGAATCACCTCTGCTCTGGTCTGATCCTTCCATGCATCCAGTCCAAATCCTGTGTCCTGGAGTTATTGCATGTAGGTGATAAACTGATTTTCATGGAGATGGCAGCAAAGGATCAGTTCCCACTTCCTCTCTCCCACCACCTGCTGCCAGAACCATGAAAGAAACCGCTCCAGGCTGAGAGAGAGACTGACTCATCCACAAATATCTTGGCAGAACTTGGGGACCCATCTACCTCTCCTATAATCACCATAAATATGTTACCGAAACCTGCTATGTTACTAATTCCAGTGGAATCTATATCTTTCCAGGGTTCTGTGCAGAACTATAAAAGGATTTCACAATAATGTCACTTCATTGCTATAAGCAGGTGTTTCTTTCAGATCTGTCTCTCTCAAGACTTCCATGTTCATGGTATCTGCCAGAGTGCAGTAAAATTCAATAACAATAAACATCTCAGAGTCTAATTTAATATTGTGTCTTATGCGTAACTGCCATCTTCTTCCATTAGGATGGGCACAGCTGACAAAAGTATTGCACACTGCATGTGGCTTTAGTTACACAGGTATTTGATGAATAAATTTGATGAGTAGAACTGCCAAAAATAGATCCCTTTAGCCTAGCATGGAAGTTACTGCATTTAAGTCCTTATTTGATCAACCAGATCTATGTTGTCTGTCTGAGAATCAGACACAGGTCTTGCTAGCCTTTCAGTACTGTTTTTTTACTTTCCTAATGGAGCCCTGCAACTCTGAGATTTTAGGAAAAGACCTAACACGGGGGCTGTGTCTAGACTACATGGCTCCGTTGACAGAGCCATGTAGATTAGACAGATCGGCAAAGGGAAATGAAGCCGCGATTTAAATAATCGCGGCTTGATTTAAATTTAAATGGCTGCCGTGCTCTGCTGACCAACTGATGATCAGCTGTTTGTCGGCAGATGGGGCAGTCTGGACGCGCCGCTGTCAACAAGGAAGCCTTTGTTGACCGGCGCAGGTATGCCTCGTGAAATAGTTTGCCGATTTCTAAAGGGCCTGGACAGATTCTACCCTCACATTCACCAACCAGTCGTTCCCTGGCACCTTAACTTAGTTCTATCCAATCTCATGGGGCCCCCATTCGAAACTTTGGCCACTTTCTACCTGCTCTACCTTTCTTATTCAGTGTTTTTCTGCTAGAAAGATATCTGAGCTGAGGGCCTGGGTATAGGAACTCAAGATTCTAAAGTGAAAAATATTGCTCTTTATAAGGTCCTGGGAAGCCACCCACATTTAGTGCAAGAACCTCAATCTTTCTCCCATAAGAAAATGCATTGTTGACATCTAAACTGCAAAAGCACTTTGAAAGTCAGCTTGTGAGTTACCTGGGGCTGTTGATTAATCACAGTTAACTCACACAATTAACTCAAATTTCATCACGATTAAAAAATCTTGATTAATCACCGTTTTAATCACACTCTTAAACAAAACAATAGAATAGGATTGAAATGCATTCTTTTTTTAATGTTCTACATATTCAAATATGTTGATTTCAGTCACAGTACAGAATATAAAAGTGTACAGTGCTCACTTTATTTGTATTACAAATATTTATACAGTGAAAATGATAAAAGAAATAGCATTTTGCAAATCACCTCATATTATAGTCTAGTCTCTTTATCACTAAAGTGCAACTTAAAAATATAGATTTTTTTTATAACATAATTATACTCAAAAACAAAACAATGTAAAACTTTACAGCCTACAAATCCACTCAGTCCTTCTTCTTGTTCAGCGTGTGTAGACAAACAAGTTTGTTTACGTTTGCAGGAGCTAATGCTGACCACTTCTATACAGTCTCACCTGAAAGTGAGATTAGGCATTCATGTGTAGCCAGTGTCACAAGATATTTGGCATGCCAGATGTATTAAATATTCATATGTCCCTTCATGCTTCAACTACTATCCCAGAGGACCTGCATCCATGCTGATGACAGGATCTGTTAGATAATGATCAGAAGCAGTAGGGACCATATCAGTCGGATGCCACCAGCAAAAGGCTGACTTTTTTTTTTTTTGGGTTGTCGTGGTGGTGGTTTGGATTCTGTAACTTCCACATCAGAGTGTTCCTCCTTTAAGATTTCTGAACGCAGGCTCCATACTTTTAATCCTCTCAGATTTTGAAAGGCACTTCAAATTTTAAACCTTGGGTTGAGTACTGTGGCTATTTTTAGAAATCACACATTAGTAACTTTTGTGTTTTGTCAAATTTGCAGTGAAAGTGTTCTTAAAACAAACGTGTGCTGGTCATTAGCCGAGATTACTGTTACATGAAATATATGGCAGAATGTGGGTAAAACACAGCAGGGGGACATACAGAGTTCAGTGACAGATTTAAGTAACACATTATTTTTTTTAACAAGCGTTATCAGCATGGAAGCATACCCTCTGGAATTGTGACCAAAGCATGAAAGGACATACAAACGTTTAGCATATTTGACATGTAAGTACCTTGAATGCAGGTTACAAAAATGCTATATAAATGCCTGCTCTCGCTTTCTGGTGACATTGTGAACATGAGGCAGGAAACATTGTCTCTTAGAAATATAAACAAACTTGTTTGACTAATTGTCTAAGAAACCAGACTGCATGGACTTTAAAAGTTTTACATTGTTTTATTTTTGAATGAAATTATTTTCTACATAGTTATCATGAAAGAAACTTGCAAACATTGAAAAATTTCACTGTAGTACTTGCATGAACTGAAAAATACTATTTTTTGGTTTTTTTACAATGCAGATATTTGTAATCACAAACAGAAAGTGAGCACTGTACATTTCATATTATGCATTGTAATTGAAATACATTTATTTAAAAATGTAGAAAGCATCCAAAATAATTTCCATAAGTAGCATTTTATTATTGTATAACTGTGTGATTAATCATGATTAATGTTTCTAATCGCTTGACAGCATTAGAATTAACTTAATACGCCAACAGAAATCACATGCCTTATTTTAACTTGTGAAAATCATGCAGTTTTTTCTGGATTCCTCAGAAATTTGACTTCACTTATACTGTAAAGAGGATAAATGTACAATAGTCTTAAATGGTTTTCTTTCAGTTTACTGAAAGTTAAATATATTTACAGGATAACACAGATTGGAGAGAGTGATCAGTCAAAAATTCCAATGAATTTTTCAGTTACTGAAATTAGATTCTAATAGCTCATAATATCAGAGTCCAGGGAAAAAGCCTTCTGAATACCGGCACTAATTTACATCGGTATCTTGGCAGTCATCAGCCATGGTTGCTTTAGGGACATTGTCAACTTAGTTTCTTTTGCTCTCCTTTGTTTCTTATCCTTTTAGAGGCTTGAGCATTTTTTCCCCTCCTTGTGTTTTGTCCCCCCTATGCATAAACTGATAGCTTCAGCTCCATTAGAACCCCAGAAAGAATTTTATTACGGATTCTCATATGTGTGTTTACCACTCACCAGTGATATGACAATACAAGCAAGAAGGCAGAAAGGAAATGTCCTAGAAGCCTTATAACTAGTTCCTCAGGACCCAAAGCCTTCACTTATACATCCATTAAAATCTGAAGGGTTGTTTACAGAAATAAGGGCTGTAGCATTAGGCCTGCAATGAAGGGTTAAAATGTAAGGATGTGGTTACACTATATTCATACTAAAACAATCCACCTACGTGGAGATATTTACACAGAAGATCTGATACACGTGAGAGAGAGCAACACACACAATGTCTGTTCGGGGCGGTGATGTAACATCAGGCAGGGGTTAAAGACCCTTGTTTCTCAGCATCAAGGGACAGATGTACTGTGTTGAACCACTTCTTTTTCTCTCCCCATCCTAAAAGCTGATCACACAGGCTCCTCCAATCACCTTGTAAGGCAGGGGTTGGGAAGCCTTTTCAGGTTGGAGGTCGCTGATGAACAGAAAAATCAGTCGGTGGCTGCACACAAGTGAGAAGCCCCTGACTGAAAAGGAGAAAGACACTCTCCACATTCCCCTCGCACACCAGCGGCTAGGGAGTCCCAGGCTAGTAGATTTTATGTGCTCCAGCCCTGTGAGTAGGTGGCAGGGGGGCTGGAGTGCCAGCGCAGGCTCCCTAGTGCTGATCCTCGAGGCTGGATCCAGCTAGGATGGGGGCCTCATCCAGCCCCCGGGCCTGAGGTTTCCCATCCCTGCTATAAGAGGTGTGAAAGGCCAAGAATTAAGCCTGCTGATGCGGACAACTAAACATTTGTTTCTCCTCAGCTTTAACTTCTGAATTTAAAACAAAGTAGAATTATTGAAAACACTCAGGCCTTTTCCACTAGGCCAGGGCTGTTTAAGCATAGGTCTTATTTCTGACCTAAACAAATTGACAGTGTCCCTTTCTAGTTAAAGAAATGGCAAGTTTTCTAGTGAGTAGTTATGTAATTAATGAGGATAGTTCTCATGGTCTCTATCTTGCTTGGCTGGTAGTCAGGCTCTTATGCAGTCTGCCCCAAGGAAAGCTGCTGTGTCCCTCAAGTTTCTATCAGCTTTGTTTGCAGCAGTGGTGGGGTATTTAAGCGGTGCTCGCCTGCCTTCAGCAGAGCAGTGCTGCTCTTCCTTGCAGGACTTGCAGTGGCAGGGTTACATGTTTGCAGCCCAGCTAAAAATGAAAATTCCAAGCTATCCCTTTGCAGTTTTGCCATAGACCGTTCAAACCCTTATCCTGGCTGGCAGTCTTCAGTTTTTATGGCCGTTGTTCCATTTGGCAGTGTCAATGCTGTCCTTCTCTGTCAACTACCTGGATGGCCGTTTGTAGCTTCCCATGTTGTGTTGGATGGGGGGAGAGGTGAAGACTTGGTGTAAGGCAGTGGGGAGGAGCTGGAGGCCTCTGAGCCCGGCACACACTCTTCTCTGTGGGAAGGCAGCTGTGATCTGTGACCCACGAGCACAGATGGAGCTGCTCCTGACGACTCAGCTGTGGCAGTTGCTTGTGAACCAGTCACCATGGTTACTGAGTGGAGGATGCCATCTGTGTAGGGATGAAGGTCTCAATCACGCTGTGAGTAGATGGCAGCAAGTGGCTGTGGCTGTTGGTCGAGTCAGAGCTCTGGTAGAGCACCAGGTTGCTAGAGGAGACTTAAAAACATGCAGGTTTAGCACGGTAGCTTCCTTCACCTGTTCCTTCTCTAACTCACCCTGCGCTCCTTCCCTCCCTCCTCTGTGGCATCGAAGCATTCTCCTTCTCAGACACTAAGGTCTGATATCTTCCTGTCATCACTGAAGAATTAGGGCTTTTCCATGCAAACACTGAGCTTGCAGCAAACTGGAGTGCCAATCTACCCCACACTATCTTGTGGCAGAGTAAGCATCCCAGTGGAACCTGCTGCAGTGTACTAGAAGTTCCAGAGTGTACCTTGGCCTAGCTTTTTTGAAATAGGTGTAGAGTAAAGCGCAGGGTGTGGAATTTCCAGTGTGCGGCTGCAGGTTCCCCACAGATCCTTAATGCACAACAGGCTAGTGTGGATTAAATTTATGCCCTGGTTTGCTGCCCTCTGACACTTTATATAGAAAAGTCTTCACTCCTTTATCCTATTCCCACGTTGTGTTCAAAATCTTGTGTGCCCAGATCTAAAGCTGTCCTCAAAGTGGCATGGGGTTCAACCCCCTTTTCCCCCCCGGAATTAAAATGACACTCCAGCTGATCCCTTGCTAATATCCTCCCAGAGTTGGTAGGCTTTGTTTTGTATCCGGTCCCTGAAGGAATCGCAACCTTCCCAGCCCTGAATGCCTTCTATGGGTTTGGCTGTGCAGGGACACCATTCCTGTCTGTGTCCTTCAATGTTACAAATTCCACATGGGGCTCCATCTCCACACTCACACCTCACTTTGGAAGTGCTGAACAATCCCTGCCGTGGACTCTGCTTTTCAGCTTCCGTTCGTGTTTTCATTTTCTGCATCCCCCAGGAACTGGTTGGAGTTCTGCTGCCGAGTGGGAAGTCCTGAATCCTATTTCGTGCCCTACGGTAGTGGTATTGGCAAATGGGGGTAGGGTGGGGGTGGAAGCACCGTATAAAATGGAAGTTTATTGGCCTTACCAGCTGGGCTTGGGGTGAGGCGATGGCTCGGCTGAAGGTGCTGAATGGCGGTGTCTTGGTTCTGCAAATGTATTGTTGGTGTTTGTGACACAGACGTGTGGATCCCGGACTCTGTATGGGTCTCTGATTCAGATGTAAATACCTGAGAAAATTAATGTTTCCTGAGCTTTCGAACAGGTCTGCCCAGGTCAGTAATATAAGCCTTCTAATAGGGACTTATATGGGCAAGTTGGATTGGAAACCGCAAGCAAGCCCTGTTTCCAAGGAGACTCATTGCTGCTTGGCAGTGCAGCGGAGAAGCTGGCTCCTAATGTTCTCAGTGTTCAAGCTGGTATTGTCAAGGCGATGGGGTGAGGGAGATTGTCCTGCTGGAGGGGCACAAGCAGGGAGCCAGATAGGCTCTCCTGGCATAGGCAGTTAGCTTAGTAAGATGCTGTGCAGATTTAAGTAGGGGAATAAGGGCATGTGCAATATACCATTCCCTGCCCTGTTACCTGTTTGGTTGGTGTCAGGTTAGTCAGGGCACTCAGATTTGCAGTGTCTGTTATCACCATGGTCTGGGGTAAAAGGCCAGTATGTGCATATTGGGCCACTTCAGACTTGTGGCTGTAGAGAGCTGGAAATGAAAGAAAACCAGATCAGGTCAGTGTTGGAGCTCTGAGAACTGTAAGTAGGAACAGGAGCTGAGCCAGACTGGCACTGCCACTGCTGTCTATCAGTCCTGATTCTCCGCCGCCACCGGTGGGACATGGACCTAGCAGAGAAATCACCTCCGCTCTTGTTTTGTTCTTTCGATCGTTACCTGGGACTGCGAACCTAGAGGCCACAAGTTCTAACTCTCCTCTAAAGCAAAAGGGGCTGTGGAGGTGGGGAAATGCAGTCTGAACCCTTACCATGGGGGCTTTGTAGCTGGGCCATGGTAGCCATGAAGGGGCTCTGATTTATGTGGCTCTGGACCTGCTGCATGATGGGCTGCTGGTAAGATGGGTGGAGCTGTTGGGAGAACTGGACAGGCTGAAGTGTAGTAAGGCTGCTTCCCATACTGTTTATCACAGGAACACTCTGGGCTTGGGTGGAGGCTAGGCCTGAAAAACGAAAACAAATATATAATCAATTCCTTGTTTCATCTCCTCTCATACTGGGAGGGCAAGACCCTGCCAAAGCGGGGTCTGTAGAAATTCTGGAACAGCCTTCATTGCTGTGGCTGGTCTACCACAGTAATATGGGCAAGGACTCTTTGAGGTAGGTGGAGCTGCTTTACCACTGTGCCGTATCCAGTTTTGTGGATGAACTTGGTGTCCGTGAAAGCCCAGGTCTATCAACAGTAGTTAGTCACATTTTGGGCAGAAAAGCACCATGCCAGAGCTGAGGCTTCCTGTTCAGCCACCAGTCACACAATGCAATTATGCTCCAGTCTGCTGTAATTCTTCTTTAAAAGTGTGAGTGGAGTGTAATGGCGCAGGCATTATTTTAATCTCAGCTCAGACTGGTGGCAAGAGGGGCATTTATGCTATGTGTAACTGGCCACAATTAACTGAATTGAGAATCACGGGTTCATTTTGTGTAGCTGGGTTTGAAGCAATGACATGTTTTACTTGAGTTCCTTAGCCACCCATTCCCCACTTGTGAAATTTAAACTAGTAAACCTCAGGAGGAGCAAGACACTTCCAGGCTACATCTAGATTGGCCCCTTCTTCGGAAGAGGCATGCAAAGCAGGCAAGTCAGAATAGGGAAATCCTCAGGGGATTTAAATATCCCCGCGGGATTTAAATAAACATGGCCGCCGCTTTTTTTCCGGTTTGGGGAAAAGCCGGAAAAGAGCGTCCAGACTGGCACGATCCTCCGGAATAAAGCCCTTTTCCGGAGGATCTCTTATTCCTACTTGCAAGCGCCAGTCTGGACGCTCTTTTCCGGCTTTTCCCCAAGCCGGAAAAAAAGCGGCGGCCATCTTTATTTTAATACCCCGGTCCCTATTCCAAAGTTAGAAATTAGCATGCCTCTTCCGAAGAAGGGGCCAGTCTAGACGTAGCCCCATAATCTGTGGAATGGTGCAAAGTCCTAATGCATCCAGGGAGCTTCTGATAGTCCCCCCCCCCATTTGTGACTGACTCCCCCAGTCATTTATTCTCCCTGCAGCTTCCAAGCTTTTGGCTCAGGAAATGAGACAATTATAACGATCATAGAGTTGTTTTTTCCTTTCTGTGGGATACAAACCATGATGAGCCCTCCACTTTGCACCTATGGTTAATAGCTTACCTATTACCAGGGTAGATGCCCCTGTGTTGGTGAATGCTGGTCCCAGGGAAGAGGTTTCACCAGCTCCAATTGCCATTACACCAGGCAGTGATGCCATGATTAGATTTTGGGTTTGCTGGCTCAGTGTGTGTGGATTTTGCTCTAGGCTGTGCAGAGCAGTTAGGGTGCTGACAGGAGGGAGTGATCCTCCATGAGCAGAGATCTATGCAGGAGGGAGAAAAAAAATCTGTGAAAATGCCATCTGCAACAGCTGTAGCTTGGTGAGGATTTTTAAAGTTCCAATCTCTGATCCACCACCACTCTCTCTTCCCTTCCTCCTCCCTCCCACTTCCCATTACTGACAGTTTGGAAGGGACTTCATTTAGCTGAGTACAGTTTGTATGCTTCCTTTCATGCTGATTGATTAACCATTAAAGAATGCTCTGAGGGTATTAACAATAGCACCTTGCCCTCATCAGTCTCCTCCCATCTGAGAATCTCAAAGCGCTTTTACAAATATCTGTGAAATTAGCCTTTGATCCCATAGAGGGAAATATTATTCTCAGTTAACATTAGGGAGGGAAAAATGAGGTACAGAGGTCCATCCATTTACCCCATTGCTGCTACATCTTATTAAATTCCATGTACATTTTTATATATAGACAGTTGCAAAGTGGGTTTTTTTACATGTTCAGCTTTAGCGGCCTAACACTTACACTTGTTTAGCACTTTGTAACTAGGAACTTCAAAGGGCTTTACAAACTTTAACCTTCACAACCCCATTAGAAGGTAGATATGAAGTTTGTTTTAGAGTTTGAAAAATGAGCCACAGAGGGTATGTCTAGACTACAAGCCTCTTTCAAAAAAGTGAGCTGCTTTTCAAAAGACAGCACCCAAGACAGTCTGGATGCTCTCTTTTGAAAAAGCACAGTTCGCGTTCAATAATGCCTTTTTTCAAAAGAGCACTTTTGAAAAAAGATGTTATTCCTCATAAAATGAGGTTTTCTTCGATCGAAAAACTGCTGCATTCTTTCGATTTACTTCTGAAAGAACCTGGTGGCAGTCTAGATGCAGGGGAAGTTTTTTTGGAAAAAAGGCCACTTTTTTCGAAAAAACCCTGTAGTCTAGACATACCCACAGAGAGAGGCTCAGTGATTTTACAAGTCAGTTATAGAGCAGAAGAGAACAATCCTGAGTCCTTCCTTTCTTATGGCTTCTCTACGCTGTATGATAGTACAGACTAAAGGGGTGTAAATTCTAGTATGCATTATTCCCAAGCTGCTTGTTACAGAGAGAGGGTGCATGTCTCGCAAGAAAGGTTTCTTAAACTGGGGGTTGTGACCGCTCAAAAGAATCACGAGGTTATTATATGGGGGGGTGAGCTTGCGACTGTCAGTCTTCACCCCCCAAACCTTGCTTTGCCTCCAGTATTTATAATAGTTTTAAATATTTAAAAAGTGTTTGCAATTTATAAAGTAGGTTTGCTGTGTGAATGGCATCACTAGTGCAAAAGTTTAAGAACCACAAAGCTTGAGGGTAGAGCGGGACTTTCAGTGCTATACTTGGTTATGTCACTGACTGAATTTGTGACCTTGATCAAGTCACTTAACCTGCCTGTGCCTCAGTTTTCTTATTCTGATGAGCTTCATAATTCATATCTACCCTCTAGTGAGTCTGAGGGTTGTAGTCTGTAAACCACATAAGGTCCCTAGTTTAAAAGTGCTATAGAGGTATCAAGTGTTAAGCTGCCAGAGCCAAGCACTTGATATATATTTATATAAAGCATTGGAATTTTTAAAACATAAACATTTGCATGGAATTTGAAACAAGTAAGGAGCAAGAGGGTAAATGGTTGGTCCCTTTTTGTACACAGCAGTGAAAGGAGGTTTTCAAGAATTTGTGGAGTGACTAGAAAATCAGCCGAGTGACTGGATGACTATAAAGATTTTAAGTGGATTCATGAATTAGACTTTGCCCTAGCCTAGGACAACTATAGACCAATACAAACCTCTTGCTAACAGGTTTTCTATGTAGCATATAATTCAAGGGAACTGTGGAAAACAGCCAAAAATGATCAATCATATAATCTTAATGTAGCGATACAAACCACATGGGAGTAAGCTTTGTTAACGAAAGCCATCCAAAGGAGATTAGCTTCAAGATCAGTAGGCTGGTACAATACAGATTTATTGCACAAAATCTATCGGTAGGAATTCTATGCACGCTGGGTCTATTGTACCTAACTCTTACAAATGGGTCAGGACAGGTAACGGTCCATCCCTGTTTTGTTAGCTGAAAAGAATCCAGTGGGACTATTTGTTCGAGTGTGGAGTTGAATCAAAAGTGAGAGGTAATGGAAGGAATCTGATCAGTGGGAGAGGGACAGACCTTTTCGGATGGGGAGGTTAAGGACAGGTGTGTCATTGAATATCTTGGCCCCTGTTTTCCTACCGAAAGGTGCATCATACTGTTTTGCCAATAACTCAGTGGGGTAGTCCTACTCAGTCTTCATCCTCCCAGTACCCACTCCCACCCCTAGGTGACAAGGTGTGAGAATGTTTTTGGACTGCATACTGCTGTGGGCATTAACATTCTGGAAAATATCGCTTCTGAATATTGGCCTCTGCCAACCCGGGCATCCCACTTTGATTCCCTGACACCGTGGAGCCACCAGGACTAGGGTGTATGTCACTCACCAGCTTTGTGTCTGTGCTCAATAGGTTCTGGCTTGGCTCCAGTCCAGGGGGAGAGACCTGATGAAGAATTGTTTGGGTGGTCACCAAGGAGCTGTTCCCATGGTGATTGCTGCTGGAAGACTCTGCCTCACTGGCCGGCTGCTGGTTGTACCTCATGCCTGTGTCGGAAAAGGAGAGTCATGAATCTCCACCTCTGAGGCTGTTCTAGTAAAGTAGGACAAGCAATTCAATTCCCTTTCTAGGCATTTGCCTTAGAAATGGCAGGTGCACTGAGGCAGCTCTCCCTCTTTCACTGGTGCTGTTTCAGAGCTGAGGGGCCGACTGGACCGAGCCTGGTATTTGGAAACCAAGAACACAGTAGCATTTTAATCCTCCCAGTAGCTTGCTGGGTGGCCTTGGACAAGTCACCTCCTAATGAGCTGGCTGTGCAGGGCTGCGTATCCCTGTGGGGAGCTAGTTGTCTAGCTCACTTGACTAGAAATTCCTCCTGGGAGAAAATATAGAAAGGAAGGGAGTCCGGGTGATAGCCTCCTCCCAAGAGCAAGTGGTAAACTCAGTCTTCCACGTTCATTCAGCCTTGGGCTTCCCTCGCCTCACCAATAGAGCCAAATCCTTCCTTTGGGGGAATTCTTCCTTCTAAGTGTTGGGCCTTCTCTGCTCTGTTGTGTCAAGGGAAATTGCTACCAATCTCTTACTCTGAGAGGCAATGTCTACACTGCACAGTTATTGCAGAATAAGATATTCCCGATTAGCTATTCTGGAATAGTTATTCCAAAATAGCACGTCTACACTTGCAGGGACACCTCAACATGAGTCCGAGGCAGGCTTCCCTAATGTAGACGTGCTATCTCAATTTAGAGCCCTCAGAGAAATGACTTAGAATGGCCCTGGTGAGGGGCTATTTCAAAATAGCAGCAGTGGAGTGTCTACACGCCTTATTTCCAAATAGCTATTTCAGAATAGGCATTATTCTTCATAGAATGAGGTTTACAGAAGTCGGAATAAGCCATCCATTATTTCGAAATTATTTTGAAATAACGGAATTGCTGTGTAGATGCTCGCATAGCTATTTCGGAATAACGGTCGTTATTCCGAAATAACTTTGCAGTGTAGACACACCCAGAGGGATGATGGAATCTCCACCATTAAACTACCATTCATCATCTACACCAGGGATACTCAACATGCTGCCATTTGTTTGCAGCCCCCGGTGCAGTTTGGGTTTGCGTGGGTGAGATCCTTTGAACGTGGCCTCCACTGGGAACACGCTCCACAACGGCGAGGCGTCTCCCAGGCGGGGTGAGCATTGAAAGACATAAGCGGACGGGATGGCTGGAACAGACGGGTCCAGGGTGTCGGTGTTTCTAGCCCCCAGGGAGGAGGTGCCGGGAGCACCAGGGCATTGTGTGAAACAAGCTATTTGCACATTTTTGCATATATATTTGCATGTATATGCAGCCACACTTAAGTAGCAGCCTTCAGCATGTGCTGTGAGTATCATTCTGGCTCCTAGGGATTCCAAAGTTGAGTGGCCCTGATTGACACACTCATCTTGTGTAAACCCCACATCAGCTTGGCTCTCCCATCCACGGGTCAACTTCTGAAAGAGGCAGACTTCGAATGGTCTTGGTGCCTGAACTGGCAGACTCACCAGTCTCCTGTTTCCAAACTCCCCCTTTGTAGTCAGTACTCACCGTGGACTTTGCTTGGCGAGAGAGCGGATGGGGGCTGGAGGGAGGAAGTGTTGTGAGAGGTCAGCGGGGGTGCAGAGCTGGACTGCGGCCCGCTGTAGGTATCCATGGCTAGCTTGTGCCGGAAGGCCTCCTCCTTCCTACGGTTGGCAAACCAGTTATAAACTCTCACTTCTGTGACCAGGTTTGAGCCCAGACCTTGGGCCTGGGAAGGGGAGACGCCACGCTGAATGCATTCTGCCCTGTCAGGAAAGAGCACAGGAAGGGCTGCTTTGATCTCCGGGCTGCAGTAGGAAACACTTTCATTCTACTCTGTTGGGTGAGCTGGAGCACTGTTGAATGATTGATCACCCTCCCTAACCAGCTAATCCCTCCTGTGGGGCCTCCTGTGATCAGGCTGGGTCTTCCCGGCAAGCCCTTGATGGTACACTCACAGGGAGAGAGGGGAGTGCATGCTGAAGAGCCAAAGGTCTACGTGGGGGTGTGGTGCATGCATGACTTTGGTGTCAGTATGCATGCCATTATGCATGGTCCTCTGGCTCAGAGCGGGGTGAACAGGCTGTTCTGTACTGTAGGTAGCGAGGCAGAGTTTTCTTGAATCCCAGGACTGGAAACAGGCGGTGAGAGCTCTATGCTAGAAGCTTGTTCTATAGCTGACTCAGCCAATCATTCTCTTGCTCTTGTCTGCGTATTGGGATTTTTCCTGCACTGGGTTTTTCAAATTGTATCTCAAAGTAAGAACCAGAGGAGATCTCAATCCACTACTACTCCATTGCCCTCGTGCAGAGCAGAGCATGGCCTCCAGCAGTAGAGCGAAAGCACA